TTCTAGTGGTGGCAGGAAGCTAATATTGGAGCTATCACAGCGCTTGATGATACGAGAAATGTGTCATATACTTGAATATGACCAATGGCATCCAATGTGGAAATGGGTTATCAGCCAGTAGATTAATGTGAGTGGTTGCACGTTGCACCCTGAACCCCCAGCTGTGACCGGGTGTGACTTACGGCGTCTTTGACGGATTCCATTTTTGTAAAAAGCATGACTGTCATTGGCTCTGTCACCCATTGCCTGGATGTCTTTGTTGAATAGGCAGGAAGCGGCTAATTCAAGTGATGACAGAAAGGTCACAGATGGCTGAGTTTCCTTTCAGATTCTCTATTAAAGGTCATGACCCCTCCAAGGACTTATTGAATATAAAAGCTTACTGACAATTGACTGATTAAATATCAACTTAATGAGGTTAATTCATTGCCCTTTTTCAAATAAAGGACTGACCTGAAGCATTGTCCCAGCAGTGACAGCCTAAAGGTAATATTCTGTCATTAGATCCCTTTGTGAAATTCAAATAGCCTTTTCTATCTCAATAGATAAGCAAATGCATTCATTTCCTCTACTGCTTTAAAGTGATATGACTAATGATTTTCTGAAAAGTTAGAAAGATACATGTAAATGTTGAAGGAATCTATAATTTACTTAAATATAAATGCCAAATATAAGCTCTAACCTTCTAAACACGTGTCTCTTTTGAGAGTAATGTAAGCTGAAAAAGACTTGGTTGCTTTGGATCCGTTTTCTGACTGCTGTGCATTATTCACTATTTTCATTACATAGAAACTCTAAAAATATGATATATGTGTTGACAGGTCTTTTATCTCTCAGCATCGCCTCCTGGTACGTGCCTGTATGGCTAAACATATAATTATCTTTGTGCCTACTATAACAATGTATGTAGTGATTGAATTGTGTTTAAGTGTATTCGTAGAGTATATTTATGAAGATTGGGGATGCATAAAGCATGTTCTTTCTCATATTTTCCAACACCAGTGTGGAGAAGTCAAGCATTAATTCAAATTCCTTCACTGTCCCTGATATTTTATATTATCATAGCAGTCAAATCCTTTGAGCTGCATGAACAAATAAGCACAGGAAATAAAATGGGAAGTTAGGTATTAAAAGAAAACCAAATTCCCTCATTGACATGTAAATATTTTATATGAATAGCCCTTTATCTGCTCCAGATGGATGAGCACACTCATATTTTTATATGGCTGGCTTGACTCCCTCTGTCTCTTGGACACAGTCTTCCAGATGCATGACTTCACCTGCTAATGTGTATCAATTCTCTGCTGTTAAAGTGGTTTATATTTTTACAACACATTACACAATCTGTGTTTCTCCTACAGTTAATTTACTCCAGAAGGAAGGATTCACCAAGCAGACAAATTGTGCTGCAGAGAACATTGTGCAATGGTGCAATTTTTTTGTATTATTTTAAAGAGTAGAAAAGAATAACAGATAACCTGGTTTAATATTATAATGAACTGACACTGTTCCGGTGCTATTTGATTTATTGCGCGCCCAAAAACATTCAGTTCCCAGATTTGAAAAAAATCGACATGGTTAGTAGTAGGGCTGAACGATATGGACAAAATGTCATATCTCGATATTCATGCCAGATATCTCGATATCGATACGATACGATATGACCACGGGTTCGGTGAAAACCAAGCATTTTTCAGAAAAATAAAAACATCATAAAACAAAAGAGTCATACACTCATCATGCAGCACACGGTGGTGTTGTTTCAAGTGGTGAAACATGTTTGTTGTGTTCCCTTTCTTCGTCGCAATTTTCGCCAAGCAAGACCTGCACAACACCTCGCTCTGGTCGACATCCTCCTTTCTAAACCCAAAATACCTCCAAATAATAGAGGAGGATTTATTTTTTGGCACTAAATTAGGTGTTTTGGCTTGGAACTNAGCTATAATCCGGCATATTTACATTTGTTTTTATACTGATGTTCATTAATGTGCATTGTCCCTATTCAAATAAATATAAAAAAAAATATATATATATCGTTTATACCATTGCTTTTTTTATATTGATTTCTTGAATGTTCATATCGAGATATCGATACGATAACGATATATCGTTCAGCCCTAGTTAGTAGAATAAACCTCTCCAGCTACGCTTAGAGAGAATGGAACGTGAAATGACTGCAGTTGGACATTGTGTCCCAAATTAGTCATCAAAGCAATTTAATACTATGCTATGTTTTGTTGATTTTATATCAAGTCATCATCGTACTTTATGATAGCACCCTGGTTTTGGAAAAGTTTTATTTAATGAATATAGTTCTTACTAAATTAGTTTCTCATAGTTGTATTTATAAAATGTCAAGAATTGTAAAAATAATCCAATGACAATTTGTCAGGGCCCTAAGGGGACAGATGCAAATTGCTCATTTGGTCCGACCAACAATGCAACGTTTTGCATAGACACTATGAATCAAGCAAAGCAGGAAACACTTACAGTACAACCTGGAAACAGCATATGATTTGCATTTGGTGTGTAGCAGTTGTGTAAAGTGGTTAGGATGACCTCAAAGCCTATAGGGCCAAGTTACTGCCAGGAAACCGTGGACTCATCACTCTTGTTTCGGAACGAGTTGTTGACCATACTGAAGGAGTTCATGGATCACATTGTCTTTTTTTTCTTTTTTGAGTGAGGTTTAGATTTTGTGCAAGACTGACGGATGTGTTGGTGGTGGTTGGTCTGCTTTTCCACCTATGGTCGCAAGCTTTAGGTAGTGACCAAAAGAAGGAAATTGCGGATATAGGCAGCCAAATCAAGCTTCCCTCGCAGTGTCTCTGGGCTGGGAAATTTTCCTAAAAATCTCAGACATCCGAGGGGACATTATTCCGATGCTTTTTCATGATGAAAGGAGAACATTGAGGGATTTCATGCATCTAGACACATCCAACTGGGCACAGGCTCGAGGCAGACCCAGAGCATGCTGCTGGGATAGCATATTCCATCTGGCCTTGAAAGCCTTGGGGTCTCCCAGGAGCAACTGGCTTGAGAGAAGGATGTCTGGGCTGCTACCAACAGCACCGATACCAAGATAAGTGCTCGTTGTAATGGTCTAATGTGAAAAGTAGCACCAAATAGGATAGTTTAAATGCCTAGCAAATGTATATTTGTCCATAATTTTAGTTA